GAGCACAAACAATGATTATTACGGTGCTCAATGAAATGAACCACAAAACCCCATCGTCAACCATCTTCAACAACCTCGCTTTGAAACCCACCCTATTTGAAACACGCCGACGCTTCGGAGCCACAGGTGGTTGATCCAATGCACCATCCACAACAACGGAGCCCTACCCCCCCCCCCCCTCCCCCCTCCCTGCTTGAATCCCTCACGCGAACAAACCAACAAGTCTTTTACAACAAGACCCTCCATATTCTTACGCACCAAACTACAACATACGTCAAAACCAACAAGAGACGCATACTGGTGATAAAAATCAATACAGTGAGCGAGAGAAGGAAAAGCCTGCCCCTCAAAAGGCCTAACCTCCTCATCACACGAAGGCGTCCAAAACTTAGTTCCATCGGGAGACACGTCTATAACACACCCTTGTAGCGATTCCGAGCGTACTGCACAATCATCAAACAGAAATACACACATAAACACAAAAACAGACACTTAAAACCGACATGCACAACATACCCGAAAAAAAAAAAAAAAAAAAAAAAAAAAAAAAAAAAAAAAAAAAAAAAGCTAATTGCACATATCAAATGACAACACATGCACTTAACGAAGAAACCACCCACCCTCCAAAACAGAAACCTTCAAAAGAAATATAAAATGCAAAGAACATGTAGTACGAAATGCACAAAACTACAATCAGAATAACCTAACAGTACACAAAAAAAAAAAAAAAAAAAAAACAGCACACACAAGCCATGTTGTCAAACCAACAACGAAACGCTTAAATTAGCAAAACAATTTATAAACGAAAAACATATGCCAATGGAACTTATGAAAAAGAAAAAAGAAAATCACAATTAGAACTACGACATCCTATATATAATAAAGCTATATGGTCTTGTGAAAATTGAATGTTGCATTTAATTTTCACAAGACCATATGACTTTAAGATGTGAAAGTCTTGTGAAAATTAAATGGGCTTTAAGATGTGAAAATTACTTTAAGATGTGAAAATTAAATGCAACATTTAATTTTCACATCTTAAAGCCATATGGCTTTAAGAAGCATGCATGCAACCCCAAAGTCCATAAGTTTGAAATTAATATATAGCATAGCTATGTGGCTTAATATTTAAGATTGTTGATGTGCATATTGAGGACTACGGAGACAAATATGCGTTATTCGTGGATTCATCGGATACTATCCAACAACACTCTCCAACTTAATTGACGTGAAGTAGGCTTAGTAACATTAAGATTATATTCTCAAATTATTAGTTCTCATCTTTTATTGATTACACACTTAATTCGATAGTATTTGGAAGAAAAAAATCAATGTTCTAATTTCTAACTAAGATTGATATTTTGGTCTTTAAAGGTCAATTGTATGTTGCTACATCTAGAGTTAGAAATCTCAAAGGTCTAAAAATTTTGATCCGTGGTGACTCTAAAATTGTAATTCAATTACTATTGTAGTTTACTAAGTTCTTAAAATTTTATAATATTAAATACTATGTACTAAATTTTTAATATAGTTTAAGATTTGTAGTAATCACCCACCTTAAATATTATTTTAATTGTAAATATATTTATGTTCATAATTTTATCATAGGAATTCACACATAATAATTATTAAATAACAAAAATTTTATATATGAATAAACCTCATATAGTGTATATTTTTATAACATATTTTTCGTGCATCACACAGGACAAATACTAGTAATATATATCGTATAAGACATAAATGACAACTACTAACGGGAACAAAAAACCAAGCACTAATCCAAGAACCAAGAACCACGATTAAAATAGACAAATTAAAACTCTATAAACAACACCAATAGTCCAATACACAACACCTACAACGCATGTCATACACATGAGCACATACTTATACACAAACCAAGTACCAACTGATGCTCAATAAATATATACTAGAAACAAACGAAAACACCAACCTGGAGAATCCATAAGCCTTTGCACAGAGAATGCCGAAAATGAATAAGGATGACTGCAAACTATGGAACGATACAAACAAAAACCACAGAAAACTAAAAAGTTTATAAAGAGGAACACTACATCAGAATATAAACGAACCATATCTCAATTTACCATATTTAATACACCTAAAAACGAGCAAATCACCCGAAAAACAAACCCAAAAAAAGGAAAAAAAAATACAAAGACTATAAAGCCCTTAAACAATCACGCGACAAAAAAAAAAATCAATAAAAAATATCCAAAAAAACAACAACCATAGATCAAACCACAATCAAAGGCCAGATTCTGTCCACAGACCTCATGTGGGAACATGACCTCATATGATCCTCTATATATATATAGGTTTTGGATCCAATGTGATCACCTAATTAGGTGAGATCATGAGATCTCATTCCATTCATTGATAAGGTTTCAATGGATGGATAAGATTGAAAGTCAAACAACAATTAAATAAGAATATATTTGAAAGACAATGATGAAAGAGTAATTGTATATTGGTCTTTAATTTTTACTATTATATTTAAAATAGAATGTTTACCAAAATATTAGGGGCCTTATCAATGGTAATAATTAATTATATTTTGTACATAGGTAATTTTAAATTATGAGAAATTTTATAGTGGTGTGTGCATAGGTGTGGAATGGTGTGTGCATAAGTGTGGAATGATGTGTGCATTATATATTTTGCCATGGTGTACACCTCTTATTACAAAAAATCGCACAACATGCCATTCCACACCCGCGCACACACTACCATAAAATTCTCAACAATTAAAAAAAACACACAATAAGCACAATACTATATCTACTACGCACTGATTATCTACTCAAAATTCAAACGTCGATACCCAAATTAGATTCGTATATTTTTGTTTTCTTTTGGATACGTTTTGCACATGCCCGAAACAATTAACGCACAAACCAAAATGCACACGCCCGTATCACATAACGCACATACCAAAATGCATAATTTTATGAACAAAAAAAAATCATCACGCCATGGTGTACAACTCCTGTTACAGAAAAAACTCATACGCCATTCCACACACACGCACACACCACTCTAAAAAAATCCCCACAATTTTTTTTTTTTTTAAAAAAAAAAAACCTGACACGCACAATACTATAGCTACTATGCATTGATTATATACTTGAAATTCAAACGTCGAAACCCAAATTATATTCGTATAGTCACTTTCTTTTGGGTATGTTACGCACACAACCGTAACTATTGAACGCACATACCAAAATGTATAATTCTGGAAAAATATCCAACACCCCATGGTGTACAGCTTCTGGTCCAGAAAACCGCATACGCCATCCTACATCTACGCACACACCACTGTAAAAATTCCCCTCAATTTAAAAAAAAAAAAAAAAGAAAAAAAAAAGCAACATGCACAATACTATCGCTACTATACACTGATTAACTACTTGAAATTCAAATGCCAAAACCAAAATTATATTCATATAGTTGTTATGTTTTTTGGATACGTTACGCTCACGCCCGAAACTAGTCATGCGCACACCAAAACTAATAATTTTGGAAAGAAAACAAGCACGCCATGGTGAACAGCTCCTGGTCCAGAAAAATGCACACGCCATTCCACACCCACGCACACACCACCATAAAATTCCCCACAATTAAAAAAAAAAAAAAAAAAAAACTAAAAAGCACAATACTAAAGCTACTATGCATTGATTATCTACTTGAAATTTAAACGCCTAAACCAAATTATATTCGTATAGTTGTTTTCTTTTGGATACGTTACGCATACGCCCGTAACAAATAACACACACACCAAAACACATAATATTGAGAAAATAACCAGCACACCATTCTACATCCATGCACACACCACCGTAAAATTCCTCACATTAAAAAAAAAAACAAAAAAAAAAAAAAAACAAGCACAATAATTAGCTACTATGCACTGATTATATACTTGAAATTCAAACACTGAAACCCAAATTATATTCGTATAGTTATTTTCTTTTGGATACATTACGCACACGCCAGTAACAAGACACACAACATCAAAACGGATAATTTTTGAAGAAAAAAAAAAACCAACCCCCCATGGTCTAGTAAAAAGCACACACCATCACACACACACGCACACACCACCGTAAAATTTTCTATAATTTAAAATTATAAATGTACAAAATATAATTAGTTATTACCATCGATAGGGTCCCTAATATTATGATAAAAATTCTATTTTAAATATAACCAAATTTAAAAACCAAAATAAAATTACTCCTTCATCCTTGTCTTTCAAATCTATCCTTATTTAATTATTGTTTGACTTTCAATCCTATCCATCCATTGAAACTTTATCAATGGATAAGATGAGATCTCACGATCTCACCTATTGGGGTGGTCTCACTGGATCCAATATATATATATATATATATATATATATATATATATATATATATATATATATATATATATATATACATATATATATATATATATATATACACACACACACAAAAGAACATGTCTTTTCATAAAATTAAAAAATAAATAAATAAAATAAGGATGATTAATCTCATCCATCTAGATTGATCAACAACTAGACTAGAAAATAGGTGAGGTGGGGTGGGGAGTGGGGGAGGAAAAAAACATTGTGACATTTTCGTTATTATTAAGTACTTTGGATGGTTTCGATAAGTTTGACAGTGCACTCAAAATTTAAAAAAAGTGTATTAAAGTTTGTTGACTTGTAACATATTAATACAAATTATGGTATTTAAAAAAGTGTATTAAAGTTTGTTGACTTGTAACATAATAATACAAATTATGGTAATTAATAATCGTATTATAGTAATAGAATGTGGAACCAGTAACATATTAATACAAGTTATAGCAATTAATAAGCGTATTACAGTAATACAATATTAATGTGAACTACTTTTGAATAAGTCATGTCATGAATTGATTACAAAAACCTTATAAATATTTTATTATATTTCTCCCATCCTACTCTCCCTATACTACCCTCTTCGCCTCTTAGTTTCTATCTACATACGTAAACAACCATGAATCCAGCAACAGCATTACCCATGTTCGCTTTAGTCTTCTCTTTGGTTATTGCTGCAGGTGACCAAGTTTATTATTTCATTTAATATAATTTACAAAATTTATATTATTAATAAAGGCAAAAGGTATGTATTAAATTATATTTATATATAGCATACAATCGTGACACAATATAATGCATTCAGGTGCTGAATCACTGGAGAAATCCTCATTCAATTTATCATTGATAGAAGAGGCAGAAAAAGTGTTAGTGCCAGTTGTGGAAACAAAAATAGAGTTTAGAGATATCGGCGATGTCTTTGGACGACGAAAACTAGGTGATTTCCCAAAGTGTCTAATCTGCAGGTGCTGTGATAAATCTGATCCGAAGAGCTGCTTTGAGAAGAATTGTTGTTATCGTCTCAAATGCAGGTTTATCGCTTGTACCTGGGTGCCCACCGCTTGCAATTGTGATAATTGCAAGACATATATATGATTATATATTTTACTTTAGAAGTATTTAGAAAGAATTTATTAAAAAAATGTAAAACATTTATAATGGAAAAGTTGAGCATGTAATGGAGAACTTATCAATTTAAAGTCAAATCTTCTTCTTTTTTCTTTTCCATATTTTCTCCAAGAATTTTTTTTAAGAAAATATGTTTTAATTTTTACTGTTATGTTCAATAAAACTTTTAATATATGTAAAAGTAGTGTGACAATTCATGTTAATAATTACATGGGTTAAAGGAGAAGAGCATTTTTTTTTGTTTTTTGAAAATGGAGAAGAGCAATTTATTCAATTATTTTGGAGAGTTATTAAAGTGAAGAGGCCGGGTAGTTTAAAATTATATAAAAATCTTTCAAATTTTTTGGTAACACTAGTCCTTTTGAGGATCAATAATTGAAGGGGAAATATGGATGTGCCTATCATTTAGGGAGAAATAATTATGGTCTGTTTGGTAAAATAGTTAGTCTATCAGCTAATTTTGACTTATTGGACCACTATTAATTGTTTGATTTGATTAAACAATCAATATGAGTGTTTGATTAATTAGTTTTTTGTAGCAACTAATTTACCAACACTTTTCTATAATCACCTATTGCTATCAACTAGTCAAACTCACTAATTCAATCAACTAACCGCTATCAGCTAACAGTCATTTACCAAACACCTCTATATCACTATAACTTATAGATTAAAAGTTCTATTTTTCTTTTATTGTAAAATTTTCATTAATATTCAAAATATTATGATTATGTTAGAAAGATAAACAATACTTGATTATTTGGAAAATATATAGCATGGCCTTTGGCCACAATGCCTCCCCAATTTTTTTAAAGGGTATTTTATTCACATCAACTCATTTATGAACCGTGGGAAAAAAAAAATAACATTGATTGCATAAATAAAAGAAAACAAAAACAAAGAAACAGCAACAACAACAACAACATTTAGTGGTGCATTTATTTTTTTTTAGGTAAATAGACAAAAATTCGTTAGTATCGTTTTCAACATCGAATTTACAATAGAAAAATTCTATACAGGTAAAAGGTTTGCTGATAATTTTTTTTTAGGAATAAGGGTCAAATTAGCCATCGAACTACACACGAAAATGCAATTAGGTCACTGAACTCAAAAACATGCAATTAGGTCCCTGAATAACGTAAAATGGTACAATTGAACCCAAAAGTGACCTGCTTACCTGAAGTGGAGGTTATTTTATTAAAATAATAATTTTAAATAATTGTAAATAAATAAATAAATAAAACGCCTCGTCTCCAGGCCGCCGGAGTATCCGGCAGCCTGGAGATGAAGACGAGACGAAGGAATCCGTTCGTCTCCGGCCTGGAGACGAAGGGAGCCCTTCGTCTCCGGCATGGAACGTCTCCAGGCTGCCGGAGACGAAGACCCATCTTCATCTCCGGCGGCCTGGAGACGAGGTATTTTTTAAAAAAATTTATTTTTATATTTTTATTTTGGTATTGATAATTATTTAATAAAATAACCTCCACTTCAGATAAGCAGGTCACTTTTGGGTTCAATTGCATCATTTTGCGTTGTTCAGGGACATAATTGCATATTTTTTAAGTTCAGTGGCCTAATTGCATTTTCGTGTGTAATTTGATGGCCTATTTAACCCTTATTCTTTTTTTTATTGATGGAAATACAATCATTAGTAAACTTAGCAATAAAAAGATCCATGATTGAACAAATCAAAGCCATCAATTCATAAATTTGTTTTGCGAACAACGGGTATGGAACCAAAATACCGATGGAAAACTAACACAATTGCATACTGAAGATTAACAATAAAAGCCCCACCCCCTCTGGCAAATTATGCCCTGGAAACGTGTTCACCAAGAATGGTGAACACAAGATCAAACGACGTCGTTTTTAGGCAAAAAAAAAAAAAATCGCGGATGTGGAGTTAACGGCGCGAGTTGATCAAATTATGAATTTTCTGTTATGAGATTATGAATTTTCATAAAATTCATAATCTCATAACAGAAAATTCATAATCGCATAACAGAAACTTCATAATCTCATAACAGAAAATTCATAATCTCATAACTGAAAATTCATAATCTTATAACAGAAAATTCATAATCTCATGGTTCCAAAGTGAATGTGTAGGCATGGTTCCAAAGTGAATGTGCAGGCATGGATTCATAATTTATAAATGTTCGTGATTTCGGATGGGAATGTGTAGGCATGGTTCCAAAGTGAATGTGCAGGCATGAATTCATAATTTATGAATGTCCGAAATCATTGTTCACCTCAAATTAAAGTGAAACCGCAAAATGTGAAAATGAAGAAGAAAAGTCACGCAATTAATTAAGAAAAGAAAAAAAAATAACGGTGTACTAACACCGTTGGAACCGTGTTCACCATGAATGGTGAACACGGTTCCATGGCATAACGCTCCACCCCCTCTACTTCCCCCATGGCAATAAGGTTTTATATAGGAGTGGGCGTTTCGAGGTTCGGTTTGATTTTTTTGGATTTCGATTTTGGTATTAAAAAAATAATACCATTCGGTTTAATATTATATAGTTCGGTTCAGTTTTGGTTCGGTTTGAAAAAATTCGGTTTCAATTCGTAATTGGTTCGATTTGGTTTAAGATCCCCAAATTTTCATATTTCCTAATTTTACAAACACACTACCAAACAATACATATTCACATAGTCCAAATCCAAAGTCTAAAACATTATATAACAAAGTAGGAATTCAAAGTTCAAAGATACTACTAAGTACTAATTACTAAACATCAGTTGCTTTTTTTGCACAACCAACTATTCAGTTGACTCACTTAGAATGTTATATTGACAAGATGAAGAATCATCCATCTGTATAGTAAATATTTGGAAAACAAGGCCTGCATGGGCTGCTCAACTGATCATAGGGGTGAAGTTTGGGAAGAATGACCAGGGATTGAGTCTCACCAGTGGCAGTGTGAGAGATACTAGTGGGACATCGAGGGACTTGGATTTATTTCTTTATTATTATTATTATTATTATTATTATTATTATTATTATTATTATTATTATTATTATTATTATTATTATTATTATTATTATTATTATTAAAAAAACAAACTGTATTCGGTTCGGTTTGATTTTTTACCAACCGTTCAGTTCGGTTCGATTTTTAATCGAACCGTTCATTTTACAAGAATCCATTACCGTTTAATTTTTTGATATATTACTAGTTCAGTTCACCTACCCCTAATTTTATAGGTAAAGACATTGTAAAATTTAGTAACTCTCATGTGAAGTCGTCTCATGTATTCTTATTATTCAAGAGACAAGTTGGATTAAGATGGAAGTGAAATATTTATACTAAAATATGATTGATAATGAAACAAGAGTTGGACCCCATTTCTCTACCTAGCTAGAATCCTCATCCAAATATTGATGTGTACGGTTTAATTAAGTTGAATGGTTGCTTACATCTATCATTTGAATGGCCTTGCTTCTATACATCATATCCGTCCCAAGGTTATTGTAGCTTCAAGGGGTGATATGCCTAGAATTTTGTGAAAATGTATAGTAGCCACTTACTCCATTTCAAATGTGATGTGTGAATTCTTGGCTAGCAAAATTGCCCAATTCGGGTTAAATTTGATTCCATTTGAGTATTGAAGATCGGAAGAAATATAGGGGTGACTGGAAAGTGGTTTTTTTTTTTTTTTGAAAATCAACCATAATGATTGTATTAATGAATCAAAGTTGCAATCGAGTCAGGAAGGATAGAATCCCAATACATAAACTGATCATGTGAAAAAACTAAAGATGCTAGAGTATGCACATGTGAATTAATATGCCTAGTAACATAACTTAACGATTAGTAATTAAATAAAGGCATAGAAGTCCTACACTAGTCCACTACGACACCAACATAGGACAATATTGTCGTTGATTCCTGGCGCATAACATTCCGAAGTTCCATACAATCCGTGAGAAGATCCACCGTTTGTTTCATTCTTGTCCAGAAGCTAGGATAGGGCCTCCATACATGCTAGAGCCTCTGCCATAAGTGGCGAGAAACAAATTGGTAGTTTTCCGTTTCGCACCGCAAAAAAGGAGCCGTCCGGCGATAGTAGTACTATGCCGAAGGTTGCCTTTCCAGTGGCCTGATGGAAACCAGCATCTATATAACATCTCGGTCTGGCGTGATTGTCGTTTACCGGTGCTGCAACCGGCATGGGGTGGGAGGGTCGTTGGTTGGCCTGTCGGAATGAGCTGATGGATGCTGCCGCTCTCCTCCATGCGCCGGTGGGGTGTGGGAGGGCACCATCCCATATTGCCGAGATGCGACTCCTCCATAACTGGTACAATACTGCTACCATGAGTCCACTCTGCTCCTCTGTCAATGTTGTAAGTGCACTCGTTAGCCATGAGGGGAATGAGTTGGTACCAATATTTGTGATAGGTAGCTGTGAAACATTCCAAACAAGTCTAGAATATTCACAAGTAACTAATGCATGCATAACATCTTCATGAGCCAAACCACACATTTGGCATGTAGGATCCACCTCCACCCTCTTTATAATCAAATTAGTAGTTGTAGGGAGAATATCACAAATTGCCCTCCACAAGAATGTCTTCCATTTTGGAGGTACCCTCATCTTCCACATAGAAGACCATTTATCAAAGTCCCCCCGGTGTATGCTCATAAATCCCCATAATATTTCTATAGGCATTCTTTACCGTGTAAATCCCCTTGGGGTCGCCAAATCAATACCATGAGTCCTCATAACCTGGGCATATATGAATCTTAATTATACGGCTCACATCCTCCTCATTAATAAATCTGCTAAAATATTGGGGTCCCAAGTATTTGTCTGTTCATCAATTAATCCTGCCACCCTGGCACCTCTCAACTCCTCAGGCATATCTGTTTGAATAAGGGGGTTGTGATCATCTGGTAACCATGGTGACGGTAATAATGTTACCGGAAATATAATATAAAGTAACGAATAAGAAAGTCACAATAGTTGTATTGCTTTGTTTTAGTATAGAGAGTACAGTCTGTCCTCACCCTTGCTAGCTGAGGAGAGTTCTATTTATGCTAAGTCCTAACGGTAACAACATGAAGAGTCATAATTAGGGAGCTGAGGCTAACGGCAATATCATGAAGAATCATGAATGAGGCGCTCAGCTTTAATTCTCTCCCTTCAATGCAATGAATGGCCATAACGTTTCCACCCGTTGGTGTTCTGCCCGTTGGAGTTCTGCCTGTTGGAATTCCACACGATGTCGGGTTAAATATCGTGTCGGGTTAGGTGCTGCTTATGATCCGGGACGGGTGCCAGCACCATTATCCTGTCACCAGTCCCCCCTACTCCTGAGTCTACGGATGTGCTTAAGTTGACTTGGGAGTAAGGCTGAATTTGCTTGATATCGTGCCCGGTTGATCCCTAGTATGTGATTTTATTTTCCAAATCATACATGAAATTTTTTTTTTTATGCTGGCCGAGACGGGCTGCGGCTTAGGCTGGCCGAGGTGCGTGCCTCCGGCCGATCATGGCCAAGGCGTAGCCTCGACCGATCGTGGACGAGGCGTGCACCCCGGCCGATCGTTCGTGGCCAAGGCGTCGCCTCGACCGCTCGTGGCCGAGGCCTGCGCCTCGGTCGATCGTGGCCGAGGCGTCGCCTTGGCCGATCGCGGTTGAGGCGTCGCCTCGACCGACCGTGGCCGAGGCGTGCGCCTCGGTCGATCGTAGTCGAGGCGTGCGCCTTGGCCGATCGTGGTCGAAGCGTCGCCTCGACAGGCTAAGGCACCGCTCTGGCCAGTGGCCGAGACGCGGGCCTCGGCCTGGCCGAGGCGTGCGCCTCAGGCCCCCGGCCGAGGTGCTGCCTCATTCGGTGGCCGAGGCGTGCGCCTCAGGCCCTAGGCCAAGGTGCTGTGCCTCTGCCTGGCCGAGTCGTGCGCCTGGCGGCTTTTTTTTTTTTTTTTTTTTGGATCGAGGCGCCGCGCCTCAGCCACTTGGCCGAGGCGTGCGCCTCGGCCTTGGCTGAGGCCTAGGCGTCGCCTCGACCAGAAGGCCGAGACGTGCGCCTCGGCCTGTGGCTGAGGCGCTGCCCGGCCTTTTTTGTTTTTTTTTTTTTTTGGATCGAGGCGCCGCGCCTCGGCTTGTGGCCGAGGCGCACGGCTGAGGCACGGCCTCAGCCATCTGGCCGAGGCGTCGCCTCGACCAGAAGGCCGAGACGTGCACCTCGGCCTGTGGCTGAGGCGCGGCCTCAGCTATCTGGCCGAGGCATCGCCTCGCCCAGAATGCCGAGACGTGCGCCTCGGACTGTGGCTGAGGCGCTGCCCGGCCCTTTTTTTTTTTTTTTTTCCGGCCGAGGCTCATGCTTCGGCCACCCGAGTTTTGTCTCAGCCAACCCGTGGCCGAGGACTCGGTTCTCTATTTTTATTATTATTTTATCTTTTTTTTTGAATTTTTTTTTTTTTTACAATGCGGCGTCGGCCGGCTTTTGGTTGATCGAAGGTGGTGTTGAGAACCTTTTATTTGAGCAAAGTAACCTGGGCAGACCATGATTACAAAATATTGTTTTCAGGTCTGGGCGGACCATGACTACAAAGTATTACTAATAATATCTAACTAAATGTTCTGAGCTCCATACCCGATCGATCATCCTTGTAGATGGTGTGGACTTGCAGATCCTTTCTGCCAATCTTTTTACATGCTTTTACGTAACAACTGCGGGCTGCTCGCTGGTCTCCTTTGATGACTCCTACCCCATTCGGAGTATGGAACTTCATACACAAGTGTTCCACCGACACTATGGCCTTGAGGTCCTCCAGTGCCGGCCTCCCCAATATGATGTTGTGCGCACAAGAGAGTCTTACCACGATGAATTCTACGTCAAGTTTGCGAATCACCACTGACCCCTCTGTCTCCACTGAATCACCCGTAAATCCAGAGAGTGGGGTACGTACTTCTTTGAGCTGGTTCCTAGGTATCCCTAACTTGGTGAAGGCATCGTAATACATCACGTTGACTGAGCTTCCTGTGTCGATTAAGATGCGGTGGACCATGACATCGTTGACGTCCATCTTAATCACCAGGGCGTCACGATGGGGTAACGGGCCCTCTGGGAGGTCATCATCAGAGAAGGTGATGGCCTCCTGTCTCTGTTTCTTTTCTCTAGGAAGACTCACCACTTCTCCCACTTCTTTCTTCGGGTGTGTCGCCCCCTGCGGGTCCACCATAGATAAAGTGTATGGTGTGCTTCTTTTGTCGTCTGGGCGCCACCTCGGTTTCTTTCTCGCTATCATTCTGCTCAGATATTTGGTCCTGTTCTCTTTTTTTGGCGTTCGAGGTGGACGGCTCTGTGCCATCCTCATTCCTCCAGACATTTTTTGGTGGATTGTGTTGCGGCTGTTGCTGCTGCTTGGATCGCTTGACGAAATGTCGGAAGTAGCCCTGCTGGATGAGTTCTTCTATTTGTCTCTTCAAAACGTGACACTCATCCGTATCGTGGCCGGTTTGCCTATGGAACCTGCAGTACTTTGTTTGATCCGCCTTCGGGGAGACCTTCATGCACTCCTCGGGGAATTCTAACATTCCCATCTCCTCAGCTTGCTTTAGAATGACACTGACGGGATGGGTAAGAGGAGTTAGATTATGCAAGGGAACCAGGCGAGGTCGTTCGTGGTCTCGGCCTTTCCCTGCGGTCGGGTGGTTCGAGAGTGGTGCCTGGCTGGGCGGACCCGCTTTCCCATGCTTCCCACCTTTCCTTCCATCCTCTTCGTCCTTCTTCTTTCTGTCGACGTCCTCTGCTTCGGCATAGCGGCTAGCCGTCCTTACCAGATCTTCGTAAGAGCGGGGGTGGTGGGCGTTCAACTGCTTGTGGAAATACCCTGATCTTAAGGCATGGATAAATATCGGGATCGCCACCTTGGAGTCGAAGTCGTAGACATTATTGACTTCCTTTTTCCATTTTATCAGGAAGTCTTTGAGGCTCTCGCCTCTATCTTGCTTCACTACACAGAGGTGAGAGAAGGGTTTCTTACGCTGTATGCTACCGGAGAAGTATGTCAGGAAGCTCTTGGACAACTCCCCAAAGTTTTGTATCGACCCATCAAGGATAGTGTTGAACCAGTCTTGGGCCGCTCCATCTAGGGTGGACAAGAACGCTCGGCACATGATGGCGTCCCCTGCCCCGATCATTACCATAGCAGCCTTGTACCTCGTCATATGGACGCGTGGGTCAGTGACCCCCGTGTACTCCTTGATGGCGGGCAACCTAAAGTCTCTCGGCAAAGGTATGTCCATGATGCTTGGGGAGAATGGTGCTGCCATCCGTACCTCGGGTTCCGGCGATTGCTCCCGTGCCTCCACCCTTCTTGCTAACTCCTCGATTCTTCTCTGCAGCCTCTCGACCAGGGTCGACTCATCAGGGTGCCGGCGCGGGGCCGGCTACCGCTCCTCCAAGTGTTGGTATGGAACCCGCTCATCAACGCGTCGCTTCCCCGCCGAGTGCCGTCGCGGAGCCGGCTCTTCGACGCGTCGCTCCTCCAAGTGTCGACGTAAGGCCGACTCATCAACGTGTTGGCGTGGGGTCGGCTCCCGAGACTCGCCCACCTCCTCTGTGGGTGATCTCTCGGCTTCTCTGTTTTCGTGTTGGCGAGGACCTCTGGTAGAGGATCCCTCGGCCCGTGATCCTAATCTTTGCCGCACGGGCGCCCTTTGTCCCAATCGTTCTGGTGCGGATTGGGAAGGGCCTGGTTGTCGTCTGGCCGGTCCACTTCTTTGGGTCTCCACCCTTATTTCCTGGGGCCGCGGCGGGGGCACTTGGCCTTGTAGTCCCACCGCCATTTGGTTTAGTGTCGCCGCCACCGCTTGCTGGATGGTCGCCTGGAAGTTCACGACTTGGTTCGCCCCTCCATTGTGGAGCTGGTCTCGGAGGTCCCCTCCATTGTTGAGTTGGTCTCGAGGGTTTCCTCCATTGTTGAGTTGGTCTCGAAGGTCCCCGGGCCTCCAGTTGTCGAGCTGTTCTTGGAGGTCCCCTCCGTGATTGTTGGTGAGTTGGTCCCGGAGGTCACCTGAGACATTGCCATTGTTCACGTTGTGGGAACCGTGGGAGCTGCGGGACACCATTCTTTCAAGCTTGCTGTTGAAAGAGGAATGAGTTGTGTGTGTCGTAGCCTGCTTGAGTATTGGACTCAAACTCTCAATGAAAGCACCAATGACGGTAATAATGTTACCGGAAATATAATATAAAGTAACGAACAAGAAAGTAACAATAGTTGTATTGCTTTGTTTCAGTATAGAGAGTACAACCTGTCCTCCCCCTTGCTAGCTGAGGGGAGTTATATTTATGCTAAGTCCTAACGGTAACAACATGAAGAGTCATAATTGGGGAGCTGAGGCTAACAGCAATAGCATGAAGAATCATGAATGAGGCGCTCAGCTTTAATTCTCTCCCTTCAATGCAATGAATGGCCATAATGTTTTCACCCGTTGGTGTTCTGCCCGTTGGAGTTCTTCCTGTTGGAATTCCACACGATGTCGGGTTAAATATGGTGTCGGGTCAGGTGCTGCTTATGATCCGGGACGGGTGCCAGCACCATTATCCTGTCACATGGGTATCCCTAGATTAAAGTTTTTTCACCATCACCAATTCTTCTTCATACCCTGCTACAACCATATCATGAGCTGCCATAATACTTCTCCAAGAATAACTTGCAATTTCCTACATTGGCATCAATAAATGAGGTATTAGGGAAATACCGTGCCTTATAAACTTTTGCAACAAGGGAACTGGGGTTTGTGAGGAAACGCCATGCTTGTTTACCTAACATAGCCAAATTAAATCCCCTGAGATCCACTACTACAGAATTGCATATCTGTTTGAATAAGGGGACTGTGATCATCTGGTAACCATGGGTATCCCTAGATTAATGTTGTTTCTCCATCACCAATTCTTCTTCGTACCCCTGCTACAACTATATCATGAGCTTCCATAATACTTCTCCAAGAATAACTTGCAATTTCCTACATTGGCATCAATAAATGAGGTATTAGGGAAATATCGTGCCTTATAAACTTTTGCAACAAGGGAACTGGGGTTTGTGAGAAAACGTCATCTTTGTTTACCTAACATAGCCAAATTAAATCCCCTGAATCCACTACTACAGAATTCACATATAATGTCGGGGCTTTAACGTCGGTCGGCTATTAGAAAATAGCCGACGTTATAAATAAAAAATAATAATAATAAATATATTACGACGTCGGTTATCTATTTAGCCGATGTCGTAGATTATTTTTTTAATATTCCATATATAACGTCGGCTATTTGTTAATAGCTGACGTTATAGAGTTTTGGGCATTTTTAAATTCATTTTTAGTTCTCCCACCTAACAACGCCCAGTAGCCCTTCTCCCTTCTCCCACCCAACCACGCCCAGCAGCACTTCTCCCTTCTTCCCATCGCCGACGCACAGCCAGGAGCCTTCGTCGTCGCTCCGCCATTGGCCACCGCCACACCGCACCGCCCCTTCTTTCCGAGGTCTCCGCTGCCCAGCCATAGCCACAGCATCGCACAGCCTCCGCCGCCACTCTGCCACACATAGACAAGCCGCCGACGAAGAGCCGCACCGCCAACGCACCTACAGCCGCGAGTAAGTTTTTTTTTTTTTTAATTATTATTAATTTATTTCGAATTTACTATTAATTTATTTCGAATTTTAGTAAATAATGTTGATATATTTGTATTTTAGGGTTTATTGGTATTATATTTCGAATTATTATTAATTTATTCCGAAGGCAGCTTTGTGTGGATTTGTTCGTGCACAGGCAAGTTGATGTTGCGAATTTTTTTATTCTGTAATTTATAAAGTGGGTGTTACTCTAATTTCTTTCTCTTCAAGTTTGTTTGACAAAATAATTGTTGGGTGTTTAGTAACATTTATTAGGCATTTATAGGAGCCTGGTGGTGCTGTAATTTGCTATTGTAACTACACTCTCACAATTGTGAAGGCATTTCCTCTCATGAAAATTAAGGATGTCATGTAATCAATATTCCTTTGTGTTTGTCGTTATATTTTGTTGGTTGATGTTTCACACAGCTTTGCTATAATACCCTAGACTAGCTAGATGCATACCAAACCTTCATCTCTGCATCACTGCATTTTTTACACTCAAATTTCTTGATAGTTGTTCACTTGTTTGCTGGTGCATGTTCTGCGTTTCTTTTCCTCCGTGTTCATTTTATGAAGCATGCTGGAAATTCTTTCAACTTTGATGAGGTAATCTTCACTGAGGTCTTATAAGTTGGGGTGGTCTTTGACGATTTGAATTTTTGTTATGTACTGTCTTTATTCTTGATCGGTTTGTTATACTATTATACATGGTGTATTAAAGTAACACTTTATGAAACTCAGACTCAATGTATATTAAGTTGTCTAATAGCTCTTTTGAATGTGATTGTGTTATTTATGCCTAATACATCCCTAAAAAATTCTAGCCTAATGAAATGCTTGAATTATGTCTTGCAGGGAGATGCAGACAGTGCTCTTGATAGGCTCTGGCAGAAGAAGAAAGTCGAAGCCCGCCAACAGTAATGTCTTTTGGTGGTCGTGTTTTATGTGGTTTACTATTAGCTTATCTGAGCATTGTTGGGAACTAGTATTTGGTTTTATAACGTTGTACACTCTAATGTATATTAAGTTATCTAATAGCTCTTTTGAATGTGATGGTGTTATTTATGCCTAATACAGCTCAAAGAATTACAATCTTGAGAGGAAACCATGAAAGACGTCAGGTATACATCCATTGTCCACTGTATATAATCCACTCCATTTTTCCTCTAATGTCATTTTATTGTTTTGTCATTGAATTTCTATTGATTTTTATGGGGGTTTATACCACAGACTTTGAATGTTCAGGTTGATCTTTACCATTCATTTTTAGAATATTTATTTACCCAAAAGGAAAACTGTTAGTTCCATTTGATATCTTCTTTCTAGGTTGTATGTACAACTTAAGTGCCAATATTTGTGCTTCTTAGGTGCCAATATTTAAGTTAAAGTAGTTTAATTTTTCAGTACACTTAAATGCATCTGCATCTGTAGAACCACAAGTAAGTTGTAGGATACAAGGGGAAGGGAATCTTGAATTCTAATGAAACCCTTGCATGGTTTAGGCAAGCGGTTTGATTCAAGTGCCAGTTAGAGAATGTCGGCAAGAGTAAACAATTTTAAGTCATTGACTCGATCTCTTTTGGAAAGTTACTTTGATGAAATAGAGTATTCTTCTATAGGGGGTTCTCACAGTAGTTATTCTTTATAGTGGTTTACTTTCATTTCCAATCTCTTGTAAGGCTTTATTTCTCAGGCCGGCCACCATGGTTTACTTTGTTGATGGTTCTTCATTCAGAAAGAAGGGCTTTGGAATCAGCAAGCCAAAATGGTTATTTTTTAAAACATGAAGGACGTCTCGTAGTCATTTAAAACTCGGATGATCACAGCTAGTAAACTCCTAATACTCGGAGGACCATTGGAGGTATTATCTCTTATCATGAGTGTCTAGCTTGTTTGACTGGTCAAATAGCTAAGAGCATCCTCAATAGTCATAGATTTTGAAGAGTTTTTGTAGGTGTGACTAGGAAAGAGAACACGTGAGAGAGAAGGGATAGAAAAAAAAAAAAAAAAAAAAAAAAAAAAAGCTAAGGAAATCACGCTCGGGCGCTTTTAGTGCGCTTCACACAACAAACACAACTGGCTTTTCAACTTTGGTGGGGCCCACTGTGCAGATAAAAAACAAGTTTTCCCTCCAAATCCTAAATCTTCTCTCTCATCCACATGTGCATCAAAACCTGCAAAAACCATATAAATCAACTATTGTGATACTCCAATATCACTATTTGGTAAACAACTTTTTGGCTTAATTTATTGATGCCAATAAGCTGAAAATGAAAAAGCTACTTTGAGTGACTTATTGATATAAGCTTATTTCATTTTTTATTTTTTTGCGAGAAATTTCATTTTTATTTTAAAAGTCTAATTTACCCTTATTAGTTGTTGGTTATTATAGTGTTTATATTTATTCAATTTTTATTCAAATTTACATATTTAATATCATCAGAACCGCTCAAAGTCGGATATTTAAATTGACTATTCACCTAAGACACTTATATATATATTAAATTGTGTTAATTGTTATGCTGAATTATTATTAACAACTTATGCTTATTCTATTTTTATTTGAAATTATATTTTTAATATCAAATTATTTTTAACTATGAAGTATTTCTTTACAATTATAACATTATTAATAGTTTTTTAAAAATAGTTTTAATGTTAAATAAAATTTTATCACATTCAGATTTTATATTGCATTTCAAATTCATAGATACGCTCATTAGTTTGGAGAAACCAAAAAGGCAATTGATTAGTTGAATAGTGTACTTATGTTTTGGGTAAATCCCTCAAACCAAAAGTCTCGTGTGGAACATGAAACACCTCTACTTAGTTGTTAGCTTTATGAAGTCGAGATCACACTTACAATTTGTGAAACAATTAAAGGACTACATTTTAAAACATTGAAAGACAAGTTGGTTCCAAATTGAAGAATGTGAAATAATTGATGGATTAAAAGTGAAATTTTCTCTTTGGCATTAATACTTTAATTTTATACACTTCAAATTGAAAATAACACAAAATTTGAACTAATTTAAGAGTTTTAAAATTAAAATATTATTATTATAGAACCTCTTTTTTTTTGTTATTTTTTTGGATCATAAGAAAAAGAAAACCCCAAGAAAAACAACCAACAACTATAAGACGTCAAAAACTCTTCTTGATCTCGAGACACCTATTTCTAAAGAATAGACTCTCTTTCATCACCAAACTTCCGTCATGTAAGATAGAAATCTTTGCAAGGAAAGCAGTTTCCTATTATGTTCGTTCACTGTTGGCTTTACGGCTTATGGCAGTTGTTTGGCGGGCCAACACTACCGTAAAATACTAAATTGAAAGTGTAAGTTTGTGAGAAGAAAATAGGGCTGAGTAACGTTCGGTTACTTGAAAAGTGGATCCGTTACAAAGTGACCCCGCGGGGTATTTATACAAGGAATTAGGCCCTGGCAAGAAAATGGGAAAATAACTAAAAATAGGCTTTGGAATCTACCAAAACTGGCAGAGTAACTGCCTAATATGAAAGAAGGAAACTGCTTGTCACGCAAGGAAACAATCTCCACGAAATTCGCCCTTAACTGCCTCTAGAATGTGCACCCGGTTGGGGACACACTGACTGCCTAGCCTGGTTGCCCGCATGAGCCAGCTAGGAACCCGGTCAAGGACGCACCGACTACTGCGGCTGGTGACAAGCCACGAATCGCTTACGGTTCTCATTTCATTCGTGTTGTCAAAAAGATTTTGTTATGCAAGGGTCGTTTGAAGATGTAAGGTGTAAAAGGGAATAAAACGGGGAGTGAGAACCACCCCGAGTATCGTACTCAAGGAATGACAACTTGGAAGTTGAGTAGAAGGTACGATGAGGTTGATTTGGCGTTTAAGTGATTCGATTCAAGTAACGTTGAGTGAAGAGTTGATTGATAAGGATCAAGGAATGAAGAGCTTAGAAGAAATAGGAAACAAATAAAAGGGAAAACGGGTTAGGATTGTGCTCCAATTGCATTGTGTGATTGGTTACTCCCTAAAATGAGAGGTTGTGGTGATTTGAATGCGAGTTACTAGTCAAGAGGAACGGCTTGCTAGTGCGTAACCAATTCGGTCTATACGCCTCCCTTAGGAATTCTCATTCTCTACGAGGCAATTTAACGAACACCTTGCCTACGTTCCTTCCCGGGCCGTTGTCCTCTCGGATCTAGGGCGGGGAATGTAGAGTGTCAAGAGGTCTACCTAGATTTAGCAATCTCTTGCCTAAATCTAGGATCCAACATCAACCAAGGAGATGAGCCCCACTCCAAAGAAGCTACAAAGATCTCCCTCAACAACAAGACATCCATAACATCAACAATCAATCACCACAATATGAGAAATCAAACAAACCCAACAACATAATAGCAATTTTAACAACAATCCCAATCCCTAAAATTTTAGCCTACCATCATTAAGATCAAGATCAAGCAATTGCAAGATAGGCAAAACAAGATATAAGCAATAAAGATTAAGTGGTAGATTTTACCCAAATGTAAGCTAGATCTCTTCAATAGCAAAGAGGAGATGAAGATCCAAGCCACAATTGCTCCAAATCTCCAAATCTTCTTGCAAATCCGAAGGTTTTTTGATAAAACCCTAGAGAGAGAAAAACTAAGCTAATCTAGATCTAAAACTTCTCTCTAAAAACTCTGAAAATTCTCTCTAAAATTGTGTAACTTCCCCTTCAAGAAAGCTGAAATAGGCCTTAAATATGCCCTTTTTTATTTAGCCTCCCATTTACGCACGGCGTCACGTCGTGACACCGGCGTAATTGGGAAATAGTCTCCCTCCGCGCTCAGCTTTGTCCGGCTCCTTTAATGCGGATTTACTCAGGACCTCACGCCATGAAGCTTTCGTAAATGGGGAATAACCCACGCTTTTTGCCTTGTCTCTCTTACGCTGCTCTCACGCCGTGAAGGTGGTTGTAAATGGGAAATAGTTCTTCTTTTCTCTTCCTCACGTGCGTGGCTTGTGACGTGTTTGGGTGCTCGTGTGCGCTCTTTTCTTGGACTTGATCTCTTTAGCCTGTTTTGCCACTTTCCTTGCCCAAAAGCACCTATAATCATGCAAAATACAATTGGGAAGGTATCTTTGCGCTAAACTGTGTTTTTAGGATAAATTACCCTCAAGAGCAAGACTTTCAGGTTAAAAACATGCAAAAACACTTATAAAAGGTTCCTCAAAACTAGCATATTTTGACGCTTATCACAAGTTCCACACTTTAGTTTGCTTGTCCTCAAGCAATTTCACTTTAAAAAGACCTGATAAGCTCAAGATATGCTCTAAACAAATTTTTGGCACACCACATTCTTTTTTCACCTACTTCATACCTGTATTATATGCCCCAAAATTACCGACCCACTATCAGAGGATCTCGAGCGTTAGTACTCCATTCACCGTACAGTATAGCAACAAATACCATCGTATATACTATATCAGGAATAATGAGTATAAAGACTAAATTGCCCCTACACAATGATAAATGATAATAAAAGTAAGGAAAAATGGTCAAATAGACCCTTCAACTTTACTCAAAAGTGCAATTAGACCTTCAACTTTAAAAAATGTTTAATTAAACACTCAAAACTTGTCAAAATGAGTCAAATAAGTCTAATTTACCGGTAAAATAATCGACGTTGACCGTCGTTGACCGCCGGAGAAGACCATTTCCCACCGGAGAAGATGACCGGAGGTCGTCTTCTACTCTTCTCTAGGATAGGGTGACAAGACTGGTTATCTTCTCCAAGAGAGGACGACCAGATTGGTCGCCTTCTCCATTGGAGAAGACGATTGGCCAGTCGTCCTCTCCAATGGAGAAGGCGACCGGCCGGTCGACTTCTCCGGCCACCGAATTTTTTTTTATGTTCGCCGAAATATTTTATTCCCTGGAATGTCGCTGGAATCTTAAATGACCGGTTATTCTATGTAAATTACCGGTTATTGGGTTTAGATGATTCTAAATAACAAGTTTGAGTGTTTAATTGCACTTTTTTAAAGTTGAAGGTCCTAATTGTACTTTTGAGTAAAGTTGAAGCACTTTTGACCATTTTTACTAATATAATAAAGACAAAATTGTTCAATCATGTGATACTTTCTTCCCAAAATTTAAAAAAAAAAAAAAAATTCTTGGATTTTTTTTTCATCTAACCAAACATGGGGAAAAGTAATGAACCGCAAGTTGTAGTGTTGTTATGCTATGCAACCGTGTGCACCATGCATAGTGCACACGGTTGCAAAAACGACGTCGTTTTGACGTCCGACTTCAAAAAAAAAAAATCAATTTCGATTGCCATTAACGGCGTTATTGTGACAACCTAAAATTTAATTTCCTAAATTCTATTTTACGAAATTCCAAAATAACCATTTTTCACTCTTCCAAAAATTTATTTCGAAAACAGTGTTTGAATTAAATATTTTGAGCCAAGTTTTTAAATAAATTCAACGCCGAGGTTTATTCTATTTCAGAAATCCTAAATTTTTGGGTACATTATGTACTAAGTTTTGACCCAAAAAGTCATTCTGAGTGAAATCGAAAAGAACTATGAGAAACCTGAACCAAGTGTTTAACTAGAAAACAATTTTTGGAAAAATCTACTTTGACCTCAAAGTTATTCAAAAGTCACTTTTAGACTACGGTTCATGGTGCAAGGTGGACCATGAACACTTTTCAACCTTTGTCTGATATCCTTTAGAAACAAGCAAAATCCCATTTCTACCCCCAACCAATCATTAGAGATTTGCCTAGGGTTTTGCACTCTATAAAAGCCAAATTATTCACTTCTCATTTCCTGATCTCATTCCCTTGCCTCTCTCAATCTTTGTCTGCTAGAAAGAAGAGGCACACACAATAAGTTTCATTCCTCACCATTCTTCTCTTCACTTTGCTTTAGTGTCATCTTTGACCTCCAAATTTCTGAGTTTTCCTTAGCCTTAGCTTGTGTTGTTGTTTGGGGTGTTTAGGTGGTGAAGGTAGTGGTGGAAGTTGAGTGGAGAGGAGGCTGAGATCCAAGCAAGGAGGAGGAACACGAAAAGGTATAAACCATGGACTCCCAAACCTATTTTCATCTCTGTTAACTGCCTTTCTTGTGTGTTAATATGTAGAAATGCTAAACACTTGTTGTGATTGGGCTATTTGTGTGTTGTAGTTGACTTATGGATGATTTGCTGTTACAGGGAAGAAGGAGCCAACTGTTGCACACAGAAGGTGCACCAGTAAACTCAACGGAGCTAGGCAACGAACCACGCCATGGTCCGTTGGCTAGCCTCGTTAAGGGACGGCCCTTGGCAACGGGCCATGGCATGGTTCGTTGCCAGGCACCGCTACTTGGCGGAGCCAAGTGGCGGGGCTTCCCAAGCCCCGCCACCAAGCTCCGCTAAGTTATACTATGTACTGACCGGGCCCTTTGAGGCTCAACTACGCGTTGTTCGGACTGGGACTCGTGGGCCCTTGAGGCTTGGATACTCAGGCTCGTTATAATGCACTTGTAGAAATTTGTTTCATTGATTTTGGAGTTGTAAAGCATGATTTATAGATGTTCTTGTGAAGATTATGTTTGCTGTGTTGATAGTTTTGGCTTGTGAAGCATTCCAGTGAAGTGGCATAAGCATCTGATTATATTTCATGAAGTGAGAAGCATGTTATATACTTGTTATTTGATTAAGAAGCGTGCCAAATTACTTGCTAGCATTTATTGAGAAGTTGTGCTAAACTTTGAGAATTGTTGCTTAAGAAATACTTGTTTTGAGAATTACAGTGAAGGAGACGAGAATTTGGTTTACAGTAAAGAATTTGTGTTAGTGCATTTCATTGACTTAAGGTGAATCATTGGCTCTAAGTAAGCCTAAGTTTTATTTCAACAATCTATATCTATTTTGGAAAATCATTATCATATTGCATTGAGAGTTGCATGATATTTGTTTTTCCAAAGTTGTGGGAAAGAACTGTTGATTGAGTTTATTTGTGCATGAGTTGCATATTGAGAGTTTATGGCATGAGAAGGTTGTTGCATGAGGCATGTCTATATATTTATCTATTGTGAGGTAAATTGGTTTTGGAGGCCCGTTAGGACTATGTCCTTTCGGAAGGAAAAGTGAAAGAATGAAAGTTTGAGAAAGATTTGGACATTGCGGTCCATTATGAGTAACTTGCTCGATATTCCTGGGTTACTAGGTTGGATATTACCCGACAGACTTGGAATCCCGGTTAGGGAGTGTGCGCACTGACAAGTAAGATACCGATTCCACCAATTTTGAGTGTAGAACCCGAGAGAGAGGTTAGGTGGGCGAGATGGTTAATTAGGCTGGCTATATGCCGAGCCCAGATCAGATCCATTCACGAGTGGTGAAGTTCCTGCCTCGCCCATGCTTATTGATGAGAAAGCGAGTCTGTGTGACTCAAGATGAAAGTTGATAAAGTGAGTCTGTGTGACTCAAGAGAAAGAAGAGAAAAGTGAATTTTTGTGATTCAACAGGAACCTCCAAAGAAATTGTATACTTTTTGATAGCAAGAGTATATACTTATACTTATTTCTTTTTGGCTTTACCTTTCACATGTGTTGCATCTCGATCACGTTGAGTTATATACCTTGTTATTGCTTATTGATGGGCTTGAAAGCATGAGTATATATTGAGCTATGTTTACTCATATTTGTTAAGCATGACTATTGTGTTGATTTACATGTTGACTAGGTTGCAAGCATATAGATTTGATTTTGAGTTGTCGAGTTATTGTCTAAGTGTTGAAAGTACTTGAGTTATGTATGCTTGCAAATTGATTTTCAAAATCTATATTCTATAGTACTTTACAGGTTTGAGTGATTTTATACTTAGCTTCGTGCTAACGGGTTTATTTCCAAACTGTTTTTGTAACCCCAGGTAGGACCAGTTGTTGAGCGCGCACGAGAGTAGTTAGTGCGTAGATGAGCTTTAGAGCCTAGTTTGCTTATGATTTTTTATTTTGACTAGTACTGATATTGATGTTAGACTTTGACTGACTGTTGGATCGTAGTTACTCTTTTGTCAGTGTTGAACACCGGGGTTTGTACCCCCAACTTTAAAGTTTTAATGAAGTTGACTGTTTAATTATTTACCTTTTTAGCCTGTGCAGTCACCTCGAGTGGTAACTGTGGTGGTAACACCCGTTGGATGGTTTTAAATAGAATTAAGTTGTTACATCTTTCTTTTATTTTCTTGCTTAGCTTATCTTATTAAGATAAGTATTCGGGAATTTAGATTAAGAAAAGTGGGCTGTTACAGTGTGCATAATTTGAACTATACAACCATAGCTTCATAACTATACATTCAGAATTGCATAACTATACATTCATAACTTCATAACTATACATTCATAATTGCATAACTACACATCCATAACTTCATAACTATACATTCAGAATAATATTCATAACTTCATAACTATACATTCAGAATTGCATGCATAACTACACATCCATAACTTCATAACTATACATTCAAAATTGCATGCATAACTACACATCCATAACTTCATAACTATACATTCAGAATTGCATAACTACACATCCATAACTTCATAACTATACATTCATCAGAATGTGAAATTATAAAATTATGAATATATGTTTACGTAACTAACGACAATTGAAAATGATTTTTTTTTTAAAAGTAAAACGACATCGTTTTGCAACCGTGTGCACCATGCATGGTGCACACGGTTGCACAACATAATTTGCCCAAGTTGTTCCCTATCCATAATAAAGTGACAATTTATCAAGGTCCAATATTAAGGGCATCCTCAATAGTTTAGGATTTTACCCCTAATTTTTGTGGGCCCCAACATCCACCTCATCATCCGCTATCTCACTCAATCACAAAATCTCTTCTTCCCATTAGTTTCAAGTTTTTTTCCAACTTTTTATGGACCCACCATTTTATCTCCATATTTTAATTATTTCTTTATTATTTGATTTAAAAATTTATAATTTTAGAGGTAAACATAAATGATACGTAAAAATAATACGTAAATTAGCATACATAAAAATTGCAAGCTTTCATTTCCAAACTTATAATTAAAATAAACATAGTAAGCCTAATTAATTAATACGATAGTTATAAAATGAAAATTAAACAACTAATTGCTTAAAAATTAAACTACAAAGCGGTTAAAAATAAATTCAAACGCATAAAAAAAATACAAAGCGGTTAAATTAATTGCCGTTGTTGTTCCATATGTACTCAACCAATTGAGAGAGTTGAATAAATTGAGAGAAATATAAAAATTGAGAATAAGATGAAAAGTGTTAAAATTTGTGAAAGATGTGTTATTTATAACAAATAAAATGATAATTATTAACAAAAAAATATAAAAAAATAATAATAAGTTGTGCCGTTGCAAATTGCAACGGCACAAATTATGGTCGTTGCCATTGGCAACAGCTGGAAAAATGACCGTTGCCAATGGCAATGACCAGAAACAATTAATTTCAGAGTGGCCGGCTGGCCGCCACTTTGAAACGCCTTGGCGGGCGCGTGTGCCGCCAAGCAGAAGGGTGAGACGCACCTGCGACTCTCACCCTTCATTTGTTATTATTATTTTTTTAAAACTTCTGACAACTTGTCTGCATTGCAGGAGAAAAATGCAGCATAATTTTTGACTTCTCATTAGTTAAAAAGTAAAGTAAGTAGATTTTATTGTTCCAAAATTTGGGTATGAATCCCCTAATGGGGATGCCCTAATAATTACTAGGAAAATGTTTCATGTACTTTCATGTTGTACTCACAACTTATACTTACACACACACAAAATTTTGATGTAGACACTTGTATTGAGATTTATATATAAAAAAATAACTTATTAAAATCGATCACATCAAGAAGTAAAATTTAGAGAGTAAAATTATAGTTATGGAGTACATGTACTACAACTCTAATTACTCAGTAATAAACATTACTAAAAAATGTAATTGTAGAAAACGCCGACAAGTCTCAAACCATTTGCGGCAAGGCCCACAGGAGAAAAATTTTGACGACCATTTGCTTACGTGGCATTATACATTTCGTCCCTTGTATTGCATTTTTGGTTTTTCACTTCCAAAGGCATAAACCCTACAATCCGTCCGTCTCCGCCGCGTCCGCCGTAACATCTAACAATGAAACTCTCAACTCTCTCTCTCCGCCATAACCAATTCCTCTCCGGCGCCGGCGCCGGCGCCACCATCCATCACCCCTCCACCACCTCCCGAACTCCGCCCTCCCGGGTCCGTATGTCCCTTCGCGAAGACGCCCCTTCCGTCGCCATTGTCGGAGTGACTGGCGCCGTAGGCCAAGAGTTCCTCTCCGTTCTCTCCGACCGCGACTTCCCTTACCGTTCCCTCAAGCTCCTAGCCAGCAAACGCTCCGCTGGCAGGAACCTCATCTTCGAGGGCAAGCAATACACCGTTGAGGAGCTCACGGATGATAGCTTTGAAGGAGTAGACATTGCGTTATTCAGCGCCGGTGGATCTATTAGCAAGAAGTTTGGGCCGGTAGCGGTCCAGAAGGGGACCGTTGTTGTAGATAATAGCTCTGCTTTTCGTATGGACGAGGGAGTGCCGCTCGTGATCCCGGAGGTCAATCCCGAGGCAATGGCGCATATCAAGCTCGGTTCTGGAAAGGGAGCGCTTATTGCCAACCCCAATTGCTCCACTATTATTTGCTTAATGGCTGCCACCCCGCTTCATCGCCGCGCTAAGGTGAGACTACTGTGTACATATTAGTTAATACTCAATTTACTCCTATAATGGTTTTTCTCGATATGATTTTTTTGTGTTTAATTAGGTCTTGACTTTGATAGATTTACACAATTGAGTCATTGGCAATTTTACCTCTATTAATACCCAATTTAGTTCTCTAGTAGTTTTACCCCGATAGTCTTTGACTATAGTATTTTATACAATTTAGTTTTTGACTATAGTGAATTTTTTCAATTTAGTTCTTGATTTTAACAGCAAAGGCGAAATTTTGGACCTAGTTAAGCATAAAAAGTTGTTTAAGACTAAATCAAGAAAAACCACTACAGTTGATGACCAATGTACATATATACGGTTTCTTGTATGTTCAATTAATTCTTAAATTGTTTTTGCTACTGGATATTTATTTGGCAGTTGAGTTTGAAGTTAATAGCGCGTGCCTTGCTCACCTCTGAAACCCAGTTTTTAAAATAGCACTATAAAAAAAAGGAAGAGGAAATAATTCTTGTTTATTTTCTTTTGTAATCTTTTACAGGTTAAGAGGATGGTTGTTAGTACGTACCAGGCTGCTAGTGGTGCTGGAGCTGCAGCCATGGAAGAGCTTGTTCAGCAGACTCGTGAGGTGTTCTTTTTATTATTTTCACTGTTTTTCATCTTATATAGAGTGTAAACTAATTTTGTTTTCATAGAAAGTTAATTTTGTGTGCTTCCTTTTTCTTAAATAGGTATTAGATGGGAAAGAACCAACTTGTAACATCTTCACACAGCAGGTTTGCTGGCTTTGCTTCTTCTGTTTGGTTTGAACATTTTTTGGTTTATGGAAGATTTGTAGTCCATCTAATTTCTGTAAATTCATCATTAAAATTTCATTGCTGTGTGCAGTATGCTTTCAATCTGTTCTCGCATAATGCACCTGTTCAATCAAATGGGTATAATGAAGAGGAGATGAAATTGGTGAAAGAGACAAGGAAGATATGGGTAAAGATTTTTTCTTTGACTGGTGCTCGTATCGAATCTTCTTATTCTTTTTGACATTCTAGTATTCGACTGCAATTTTATGGTCCGAAATTAGATACTAGTTGAAATCTATTTTTGACTGCATTGTAGAATGATGGAGAGGTTAAAGTCACAGCAACGTGTATTAGAGTTCCTGTTATGCGTGCACATGCAGAGAGTGTGAATCTTCAATTTGAGAATCCTCTTGACGAGGTAATGTTTGGTTGCTAGTTTATTACATCAACCATTTTTTGCCTTCAATATGTAATTGTGTTGTTTAGACTTTAGATGCCCAATTGTATGATGCTATCTATATTTCAATCAAACTTGATCATCAATTGTTGTACATGTTGATTTTCAACTCTGATCCAGACTCTTTGGTTGTCAAAATTTTAAGGGTTGGACATGTTTACCAAGCATATATTTCCATGAGTACATAAACAACTCAAAAAATTGAGCAACTAAGGAGTGATGGGACAGTTCTGTAAGATTAGAAATTTTCTGTTTGTTTTTGTTCATCTATTAAAAAATTATGCGAACTGGACATTTTAATTGACAATCGATCAGTATGGTCAGGGCAGATAAAAATGAAGATCTTGAGGATCTGTAATAGTTCTTGCTTTTTCTTTTCTGCTTGTTCAGTCATTATATGGAATTGAACCTCATTAGTAAGACTCTTGCTTTATGTAAATCCTCTGCAAATATGTTTTTGAACACAAGTTTTCTGCTTATTTAGATTACCCAGGTTTCACCAAACCTGGGTGTGTTGACCATATTCTTTTATATATGATAGGATAGCATGTAATGATGGTTCTTGAAGTTATGCTGAACAATTTCTAAGACGGGAAATATTTGTATGAATTGTTGCTTGGAAGCATCAGTTTCTTGTGTTCTATGGAATAGTTTGGAAGCTGTTAATTCTTCTAATTCCCGGGTCAACATTTTCTGGGTAGCCTTTAATGGTTAATCGTATGTAATCACAGAGTAGTGTCAATGTGTATCAAGTAGAGATAGTTTTTCGTTCCGGAGTGGAGCTCAATTTTGTTTGGTCTGTTGAACTCTATTTTATATAAAATCGAAGAAAATCTAATATCGATTTAGATGTGCAGGAGACGGCAAGGGAAATTCTGTCGAGGGCACCCGGTGTAGTGGTGGTTGATGATCGAGCTGCCAATAGGTTTCCCACCCCATTGGAAGTGTCTAACAAAGATGATGTTGCAGTTGGGAGGATACGCCGCGATGTTTCCCAAGACGGTGACTATGGGTAAAAACATGGTTCCAACTTCCAATAACACTCTTGATTGTAGTATTGTATGTATATACTGTCTGGAAATCTTACTTAAAGTCTGCATTCACAATAGGTTGGACATCTTTGTTTGTGGCGACCAAATTCGCAAAGGAGCTGCCCTTAATGCTGTGCAAATTGCAGAGAAGCTGCTATAAGGAAGTTGAGAACGGAATAGCATCAAGGAATTTTTCCCTTACAAGGCCAGTGTTGAGTTCACGGATGGATGGATGGCCGCCCATATTTCTTTGCGTGTAAAACTTACCATTAGCTTGAGCCTTGAAGATTAGATTGTCCTTATATTTTATCCAAAGTAGGATTTGTTGTGTATTGCAAAAATTTTGAGATAGCTTTCTTATCCCGGAGCATTTTGTTTCGGGTGTGTTTGGTTCAAAAATGGAATCGGAATGGTAATAAAAATATGAATTATTTTATTTGATACTGAGATACTCTGTAGTAAATAAGAATTTGAATTAAAATAAATAAATAAATAAATAAATAATTAAAATTAAAATAAATAAATATATAATAAAGATACATACACATACATATGTGTATATATATTAAAATTTTATATTTAATGTATGAATAATGATTTTTTTTTTCTCTTTGATTTTGTAATTACTAAAAGATTTAATTTCAGTAGTAAGATAACAAAAGTAAACAAACAAACATGGTAATTAGTATCAAAATTCATAGTAAAGTATAAAATTTCCCAACCAAACATATCCTTGGTTGCTACAAACGTAATTAAAGCAATGTTGATTATTTCCGTTGAGCCAAATAGCCAATGCCTATAACGCTTGTGATAAAAGGTGAAATTGTCGACGTCCCCACATCCCTCTGGAAGAATAAATCATGATAACTTAACTGACCTAAAAATAAACTAGACTTTTACTCACTGTGCACAAGAAATCCCTTCATTGATCTCTTGTGACAATTTCATCTTTGTGACCAGTTGAACTATTCATGCGGGCTAATGCCTATAACGCTATTTGCATTGAAAGCTGATTCTTTATGAAATATGTAACGAAAATAGGTATTAAAATTTGTGCCCCCAACATATTGTTAGATTGTTAGAAAATAGACAAGCAACCTAATGGAAATATGTAATTTTGACTAAAAACATATCTATAAAACGCAACTCCCCATAGCAGCTTATTTGTTAATGCCTTGACCGCCCCCAAGATCAGCTGCTGCTTTTGACGCTTTACTCAAAGCATCGGAGACCCACAGAGCACCCTTTGAGAAATAGGAGCTATTGACAACAGCATTCGCAGCCGCAAGAGCACTTCTCCCCGTAGCCGATACAGCTGATTTGGTGTTATCGAGAATGTGATACCTCTGATCCACTGATCTAGCAGCTTCAACCCCGGCAAAAATCTTGTCGGTCAGGCCCATCCTCTCGCTCAAATCCGCCACCTTGGCTGCTGCAGTGGCTGACAATTGGTGTGATTCGTCGAAAGCTCTGGCCTTACCCAAAGCATCTTTTCCTAGTACATAGCCTCTGGATACCATTGTTTTAACCACGTCTTGAGCCATGGTCACGGCTTCCCCAGCAGAGGGAGCATATTGGTGGCCTTGTGTGTGTTCCTAAAATGTTGGATACAGCAATTAGCCAATTGGGAAACTCATCAGACACAAAGCTAATAAAACATTGTACAAGGTAATAAGAAACATACAGTTGAATCTCTTGCTTCTTCAGGCTTCCAGGAAGACTGGTTCCAGTAATCATATTCATCTTCATAGTATCCCCAGCGGGCTATGCATACTTGTTGATCCAGAATTGTGGCGCCCTGTACAACATGCAGTTTGAATGGGGTCAATATTCAGATTCTGTCCTTGACTACTGAAGGAAAAAGGGGTGAGAAAGATCCATTTCCTCATACAGAAGATTGTGAAATGCTTTAAATAGATGAATAAGTGTGCCAAAGTTGCAGAGTTAAGTTACTAGTAAAACTATCAACAATATTAGCAGCAGTTGGCATATATTATCTAAAAGGAGAATGGAATTTTCAAAAAAAAAATGTGGAGATTAATTACTCACTGCTAAAATAATTTAACCTGATGCCTGATTATTGATTAGCTAAAAATGCAGGTTTTAGTAAAAGTTAGGAGTATATAGATAAATAAATTCCCTCATTTTCCCTTCTTTGAAACTAGATCAAATCAAATTGAACATTTTATAGATTTTAAACCTCTGAATAACTAAATCTTTGTTTAGAAAATCAAAGCTTGCAATATTCTTTTGGATACATGAAAGCTATATAGGCCCTAAAAGATTAGATCAAATGGTTGAGGGAGTGGAACAATCCTCCACATTCCAAAGCATCATGATCAATCTTTCAGTAGTAATTGTCATTAAGAAGGGAGGGAAATGTAATACAATTTTAGTCGTAGCACTTACACTAAGTAACACAGCTGTTTCCAGAGCATGAGAAGATCTAAATGTCACATAGGCTGTACTTGCATGTTCACCAGCTCTGTATTTTTTACCAAACATTATTAAAAAACAGATACTTGAATATTAACACAAGACAACAACCATTATATGCATTCAGAGCAAGGTTGAAAAAATTGCTAGGCGCCTAGAGCGCCTAGGCGGGCGCCTAGGTGGCCGACCGCCTAGCGCCTAGGCCCGATTTTTGCAACACTGATTCAAAGGTAATAGATGATTCCTTATCATAATGTACACCAAAATGTAACAATACTAACAGGAAAAGGGCAATACAAATAAAGGCATCACTTTCTACCTCACTCTTTTTTGCTTACTAATGTACGACAGGTAGAAGAGGCAATGGACTGGTTGGAATTGAGTTAATTGCACTTTATCAATCACACTTCATTACTAAGGCAAAGGTATAAAGGAATCCATTAACCCATATCTAGAAGATAAGGGTTGATGGGTAAGATCTTAGACAACATGTTTACACACATATTCTAGACAACATATCTACAGTAACCCTTATTCTGGAAGGTACTGCCAAACTCATAAAAAGGGCAGGTTGGGGACTTGGGGTTAACTGGAATGGGTAAAACTTTTGCCTCGTAGTCACAAACTCACAATATTTTATGCATAGATAGTGAGAAAGTAAGAATTTACATCTAAGAGTTTTCACAACTTATCATAGCGATAATTTAGATATCAACTATAAATTATGAAGTACAAATCAACTATAAAAACATTTCATTCTCAACCTAGGGCAAGGCATCAGCAGAGCAGACATGGTGCTTCCATGCAGCAAGCCAATGAAGTTACAAAGTGGGAAAAGACCAATTGAAACATTAGAATTATAAAATCTTCAGTTATAAAGGGGAAAAAAAAAACACAAATAATAAGGATTCAACGCTCAAGAAAGCCTAAAGCTAAAAGGAACTAACAGATGCAAACCAAATAAAACATTTCTGTACTACCTGACAATCTCAATATGATCAATCTTCCCACAGAGAGCAAAAAAATCATGAATGTTCTTCTCAGTAGCAATAGGGGACAGACTTGTAACTTCAGCAGTGTAACCACCTGGATTCATGCTTATTCCCTTATTGGTGCAACCAAACTACAATGAACAGATAAGTAAAGATTCCTATGAGAATTGACATTAAAAGATAATCACGTCTTCAAAACATTCATGCTGATGATGAAGTATCAAACTTTAAAAGTTTAAAGGAAAGGATAATAATTAACAAGAGTTTATTTTTTAATCCACTTCCAACTCCAAGCCCAACATTCCATAACCCAAACACCAAGTACTATGCACAACTAGCTGAAAAAACCCAGTAACCATTAATCAGCTGTAGAATCCATTACTTTTCCTAAATTGACAACTAAATATTAGTTCACAATCCCACTGCAGGGCAGGACAAAGATCGAATAGTATAACTGCAAGATCCATTTCCTTCAACAAAATTAAGAATAAAATCAACTCAAAAACAACAAGCCGTGAATATGTAAGAAAATTGAACTGAAACAAGCACAATATCCCAATTAGCTAGCTAACTATAAAGATACTCGCATGCAGAGCTGCGACCTAGGGTTTATTTCCAAACTCTCACTCTCGCAATCCAAACGAACAAACGATCAATAACACCACTGCTGGAAAAATCTTGATTTAGAAAACATTATACAATTTAATCTGTAATTACTCAGAGTAGAATTTTTGAAAAAATTACACCAAAGAGAAGGTTAATCAAGGAAGATTAATAAAACATTATTAGCAAAATAAATACATCAATGATGAACTGAAAAAGTGATCTCCGTAATCGTACCTAGCTTCAGTTAGAGAAAGATGAGAAGACGGAAGAATCAGAGACGAGCACCGGTAAAAAGCTAGAGAGATGAGATTCCAGAATTTGGAAATTGAACTGTTGTTGCTTATATATGAAGGAATGCTGAGGTGGTGAGCTCTTGAGCACTGTCATGTCACTCTCCATATTAGGATTATTATTAGGATTTTTGTATTTGAGTCGTAGTATAACTCTTGTTTTAATTTTCTTATAATTTCTTTTGTATATATTCTTTATATTTGTACAGTTATAATAAAATTCATTTAATACAATTTATTCAGTTCTTATGTGATATTAGATAGCTAGTATTTTATCGTAATAGAAACGACGGACGCAACCGATTAAATTTTTTGGCGTCATTCACGAGCAGCAGATTCTTGGCGTCATTCCCATAATTTGCCAAGCTGCAATTGCAATTGCAATTAATGCAGTTGCTCAAATATATCTAAATTTACTTAAAGGATTCAGCAAAAAAAAAAAAAAAAATTCTCACATCATGCAGCGAAGCGGTGACAGTTCGCGCAGACGTGATGATTAGTGTCAAATTTGTAAAGGTTTCGGTCACATGAAAGTCAATTGTTTTTGGCGCTATGATGATCCATGTCAAATTTGTAAATATTTTGGTCACACAGGAGCCAATTGTTTTTGGCGTTATGATGATCCGTGTCAAATTGTAAATATTTTGGTCACACGGGAGCCAATTGTTTTCGGCGTTATTCAGGGGCTCCGGGTTCTCAGACTAATTTGGTGTTTCAGGATGGTTTGGGAAATAAAACCTCGTCAAATTCTCATACTTGGGTTCCGGACACTAGAGCCACAAATCATGCAACTCCAAACATAACTGTCCTTTCTACCTCGGCCAAGTACACTGGTAATGACACTCTACGTGTTGGTGATGGTATAGGCCTATCTATTAGTCATGTTAGTCATGCTACTTTTAATAGCCATTCTAGGTCTTTTACGATGTCTGATATATTGCATGTTCCTGGTTTGTCTACCTCTTTATTATCTGTTCAACGTTTTGCTACAGATAATAATGTGTTCTTTGAGTTTCATCCTTCATTTTTTCTTGTGAAAGATATCACCACCAAGG